AGAGATAGGGTGTCGATATAAGGAGGGACAAGATCTTTTATCCTTCCTCAAAGCAATGGGTAAATCAACTGGATTAGTGTCACAAGTATCAGAAATAGAACAATCATCATTTGAGGAATCATTTTCAGTACTTACCTCCGGTTCAGACGATTGAATTTGTTTTTGGAGAAGGTCAGATTTACTTCTTCTCTGATACACTAGAGTTGGTGCTGAAGGTGCTGATTCCTGTAGAACATAAGGCATTGAAGGACCAGGAACAATTACTGACTCAGATTCAGGTGTTGAACTAGGACTCAAACTCAAACTAGGTGACAACTCGGGTTCAAGAGAGGGAACACTGACAGTTGTTCTCGGGAGGCTAGGACCAAGGATCAGAAACTCGGACTCAGACTCTAAGTCAATCATGTTCTCCCCTTGAGACTGAGAATGAGTGAAGTATGACAAATTTTCATGAAAGGTAACATCTTTGGAGACAAAGAATTTCCGACTCGGAGGATGATAACATTTATACCCTCTTTTATTGGGTGCATAACCCAGAAAGATACATCTAACAACACGGGGATCCAACTTGTTGCGATATTGTTTGTGAACATGAACAAAAGCAACACAACCAAACACGCGAGACTCAAGATTATGAAAGATAGGAAAAGAGGGAAAACGTGAGAGCATAAATTGAGCAGGACTAATATTACCTAACACTCGAGATGGGACCCGATTAATCAGATAGGCAGCAGTAAGAACTGCCTCCCCCCAATAAGAGGTGGGAACAGACATTTGAAAAAGGAGAGATCGAGCAACTTCAAGTAAATGACGATTTTTTCTTTCTGCGACACCGTTTTGTTGTGGGGTGTCAACACATGTGAATTCATGAAGAATGCCATGTTTACTAGTGAAGTTGGAGAAGGTATGATTGACATATTATTTACCATTGTCAGAACGAATTCTTTTTATACATTTCCCAAATTGTGTTTGTACCATATTATAAAATTGGATAAATATTTGTGGTACTTCGGATTTAGTATTCATCAAGAAAATCCAAGTTACCCGAGTACAATCATCAATAAATGAAACAAACCATTTTTCACCAAAAATATTAGAGGTAGGGGCAGGTCCCCAAACATCAGAATGAATCACATCAAAAGGTTCAACACTTTTATTAAAACTGGAAGGAAAAGTTACACGATTGTGTTTTGCCAACTGGCAAACATCACACTTAAAAGACTCAACATAATGGTTTAAGAAAAATGACGGAAACATAGACTTAATTATATAAAATGGAGGGTGACTGAGACGCTTGTGTTGAAGCCAAATTTGTGAGGCTGAAGAGGAAGACTGAGACTAGAGACAGGAGGACAACACCTTTGGATGGTCATCAGAGAAGTAGTATAACCCTTCCTTTTCCTTAGCAATTCCAACCGTCTTCCCCGTGGTAAGGTCCTGAAAAACCCAATGGGACGTAAAAAACATTACTTTACAATTTAGATCACGGGTAAGCTTATGGATGGGAATCAAATTGTGGGAAAGTGTGGGAACATGAAGCACATATTGCAATTGAAATGGAAGTTGCAAGTCAATATTTCCAGTGCCAACAACACAAGCATGAGAGCCATCAACAACAATGATATAAGGAATACTCGAAGGTGTGGTATAAGAGCATAATAATGTGGAATCAAATGTCATATGATTAGTAGCACCAGAGTCAAGAATCCACGCATTCTTAGGGATATTACCACAAACAGGAAAAGATCGGGAACACAAACTCTTACCAGTAACTGCTAGAGACCCAAAACCAGAAGGCTTACTCATGGAGTCAAGCATAGACTTCAACCGTTCCACGTCATTCTGACTGAAGGAGGAAAGATCAGTTCCCCCTTTTTCAAATCTTTCAGTATCATGGGCATGTGTGGCAACATGTGCCTGATGTTGGTGCATGTTGCGAGAACTACCTCCTCGGCTAAGAACCTGTTCCCTCCCATGTAGTTTGAAACACCTATCCTTTGTATGCCCTGATCGGTTGCAATGCTCACAATAGAATTTGTCACGACCATTCTTAGATGATGATGATGGTGATCTTTGTCTTGTTATTTTGCTAGCTACTAGTGCTGACACATCCGGGGGTTGTTCATGAAGCATAGCTTGACGACGGGTCTCCTCACTACGAACAGTGTAAAAAACTTCATTAAGATCGGGAAATTTTTCCTTACTCAAAATTTGCACCCGAATAGGGTCAAATTCAGCATTAAGGCCTGCTAAGAAATCAAAGATCCTATCCCGCTGAACAACAATATTCAAGGTGGCAGTATCCCTGCTGCACTCCATCTTCAAATTCTGATATTGATCCAACTCAATCCAAAAACCATTGTGAACTCCAAAGTAATCGTTGAGCGAAAGACTTCCCTGCTTAGTGTTGAAGATTTTCCTCTTTAAATCATAACAAGAAGACATATCTTGTTTCATGGAATAACTTCGACGAAGATAATCCCAAACTGCCTTTGCACTTGAGAGATACATGCAATTTCTACTAATTTCTGGAGATATGGAGTTCCAAAGCCAAGTAATAATAGCAGAATCATCTTTATCCCAGGAAGGGAAACTAGGAGCAGTAACCAGAGGAGGATTGCCTTCAATATGATCTAGCATGTCACAACATTTTAGAGTGTGTCTGATGAACTGAGACCATTGAAAATAATTTTTTCCGGTAAGCCAGTAACCTTTTTGAATGACATAATCCTTAGCATTAAATGGGACCGGTGGATTTGTGGGAGGTGGAGGCGGAGGTGGCTGTTCGTTAATAATCTCGGCCATTGAAGGGACAATCAAGAGGAACAAACAACAAATATGTATTGAATCACAAAGAAAAAACACAAAATATCACAAAAAACAAGCAGTGTAGGGTTGCAAAGATGAGTGAATAGTGAGAGATGTGAAGCAAAGCCAAGAAATAGAATGTGCTGCAACACAGAACATCAATGATCCAAACACCAAAAAAAACAAACTGCATGGATGACCGACAGTGAAATAAAGAAAAAAAACTCCGTTACAACGACGGCTAGGGTTTATGCGGAAGCGAGACCCCCAAAAAACAGGAGCTCTGAAACCATGTTGTAAAATATTTCACTGATGGAATTAAAAGTTCTGCTTACAATGTTGCAACTACATGCTTTAAATAAGAGAGAATAGAAAACCTAATGGGTTTTGACTAATGAGCCTCATTACCAATACTACTAATTACTATTTACAGTCTAATATTTACAACAAAATATCACACTGAATAAGCTCATTTCTGCAATTACATTAACATGCACAGTTTAATAAAATTATCCAAAGATTACCCTCAAAGTAAAAACGTAACTAACCGAAGTTTACCCATAAATTTTACCCACAATGTTTTACCCACAAAGTGACACATTATGTGTGGGACCACTGAAAATCACACAAAGTTAATAGAATCATACCTTTTTGATACCACCAATGCAGCAATAGAATACAAATCTGCAGTCAACGAATGACGATGAGATGTCACGAGAACTTCTCCTTTTCGAAGCTGAGAAGCAGCAATGACTAAGACTGAACAACATGAAAGATCTCGTTTTTTTTACTAGGGGTGAAACGAAGAAGAAATGAAGGATTTCAATTTCTAGGATTTCTGTCTTCCTTTAAAGTGTTAGAGATGAATTGAGGGTAGTTTAATAATTATACATACATATTTACACACGTGGAAATGTACATGTCAATGACACATCAATTTTAAGCCGGCTGGATTTAATGAGAGAGAAATCATCCAAAAAAAAATTTTACAAGAGAATTTTTCAAAAATGGACCAAATAACAGGAGTGAAAATAGATATTAATCCTTAAATGAATATGCAATGCGCAATAAGTAAGAGACTATTCATTTCACAATAACAACTCTCTTGTGTCTCTAAAGTAAAATACTTTTAAATATATTCCCTAGTCACTTGCATGTATGGAAGGAAACTAGCTACTTGAGTATTTTCTACATTCATTTTATTTTTCATCTGTCTCTATTCTTTAGGGAAAATATAATAAAAATAGCCATTCAAAGACAAGACACGAGGGTAAGAGAATTAATGTGTTCAAATTTTAAAGTATCGATTTCTGTCTTGTGGGTTAGTCAATAAATTTACTCAAGTCTATTGAAAATTTTTAAAAATCTCTTACCATTACATTAAGTGTTCTTGAATATATAAATTTTTACTTATAAATATTATGTTAAAATAATATATTTTCGAGTCAAAAGTGTAAGTTGAAATGATGGAGGTTTGAATTAATAATTTTAATTAGTTGAATATAAATAAAAAATGAATTAAGTGTATTTTTAAGATGATATCTCATCATTTTAATAATGAAAAAATAGATGATTAGATGTAAATTAATTATTTTATGATTGTGTTTTATTTTAATAGTAAAACAATTATAATAGATAATAATTTATCAGTTTCATAAAAAATATCTCATTTATATTTTTTCTCAGTTTTAAAATAATTGTCCATTTAAAATATTAATTTAATATTTATTATTATTTTCTACTGCTATACATTTATTTATTAACTTTTACATTATCAAATTAACTACAATTAGTAAGAATATTTTAAAAAATCATATTAGTTTTATCATTAAAACCAATCGATCTAATCATTTTCTTAAAAATTACATATTGCTCAAATAAATTTTTTTTATGAGAATATAGGAGTATGAGATAAGTTTATTTATGTCCAAAAGAGAAGATGAATGTAGTTTTACTCTTATTTTGTATAAATTTTCTCAATTGACTATGGTATTAGTCATTCATTGGTCATTGGTTACGTTTCAGTGTGGGAAATGTTAAAGAGTCCATCCAAATACTCCTACTTATTAGTGACGCGGGAAAGAAAATTGATGCCTTTAAAGTCAATTAATTATGTGATGTTTAAGAGTAAAATTTGTGTCACTAGTATTCAATTCTATTTTATCTTCATGCTAAAATGAGAGAGCAACTCAATGGATTCTGCAAGTAATATTCTCTACCTTGTCTTAACCCAATATCATAGATATAATAATTTGCAGCTAAACTGTTTGATTATATTCCTTTTCATATTCTCTTTTTGTTCTTGTTCTACTGATACCATTTCTATTCACAAACCACTAAGAGATGATGATCAGCTTCTTCTTTCTAAATCTAAAACTTTTGCTCTTGGATTTTTCAATCCCGGAAAGTCCACCTCTCGCTATGTTGGAATTTGGTACTACAATTTGCCAAACAAAACTGTTGTTTGGGTTGCAAACAGAGATACTCCAATCAATGATACTTCTGGAATTTTATCAATCGACCCGAGTGGAAATCTAGTACTCCACCACAACCTCAGCACCGTTCCCATTTGGTCTACCAATGTTTTATTACCACAATCACTAACAAATAACACCAGTATTGTTATAGCTCAACTATCAGACTTAGCAAACCTTGTTCTGATGCTAGACAACAGCACCATCTGGGAAAGCTTTGATCATCCAACAGACACCTGGCTTCCATATCAAAGACTTGGTTTTGATAGAAAGAATAATCAAAGTTTGTTTCTCCAATCCTGGAAGACAGATGATGACCCTGGAAAAGGTGCATTCATAGTAAATTTCAGCATCATTGGTAAACCTCAGTTGTTTATGTACAATCGTGACATTTCTTGGTGGCGTGGTGGACATTGGAACGGAGAATTATTTGTAGGTCAACCTTATATGAAACGAGATATGCCCTTTTATAACATTTCTTTGGATGAAGATGACAGCCATGTAGCACTCACATATAACATATATGATACGTCTGTCATTCTTAGGATAGTGCTTCAGCAATCTGGGTTCTTTCAAGCATTCAAGTGGGACAGTCATGAGAGTCAATGGAACCAGTACTGGTCTGAACCAACAGACCATTGTGATAACTATGGAACATGTGGATCAAACAGTAATTGTGATCCTTTGAACTTGGAGAACTTTAAGTGTACATGTTTACCTGGTTTTGAACCCAGATATCCACGTGATTGGGATGAAAGTAGAGATGGGTCAGGAGGGTGTGTGAGGAAGAAAGGTGTATCTATTTGTGGGAATGGGGAAGGGTTTGCCAAAATTGTAAGCTTGAAAGTTCCTGATACATCTGTGGCAGTTGCTAAAGGTGGTTTGAATTTGGAAGAATGTGAGAAAGAATGCTTCAGAAACTGCTCTTGTACTGCCTATGCCGTTGCTGATGTGACAAATGGTGGAAGTGGTTGTTTGGCATGGTATGGGGATTTAATGGACATTCAAAAACTTAGTGATCAAGGCCAGGATTTGTTTTTACGCGTCGATAAAGTTGAACTAGGTAAGATATTCCCCTCTTACTTACTGTGTTTTTCTTTACAGATTTGATACTATAAAGTGTTGTTTGAACTTATTTCTTCTTATCAGCCAATTACTACAAAAAAAGCAAAGGAGCCCTTGATAAAAAGAAAATGGCTACAATTCTTGTAGCTTCTATTGTTGCAACTGTTCTCCTCCTCTCCTGTGTGTATATGTATTGCTGGCGGAAGAAAAAAAGAAAGGGTATGTGATTTATTTTAAATGATGATATCCCTTGTTCATTATACTTCATTATTATTTTCAGTTTGTCTTACAAAAAGTGTCATATTAGTTTCTTCTGTTTCAGCTATTATTTTTGTTTTGTTTAACTATTACATTGACTGTGTGTTATATCAATCTTTTGGAACCCATACACATCAACACCAATTTAATCTTATCCATTCAAACCGAGACATCCTTTGGGATTCTAAAGGGGCTCATTTATGCAAATTATTTTGTCAAAGTATTTAATTAGCTGCTCTAACCAAGTATGCTCGGATATGTTAAAATACACTACCCGAACAAAGAAAATGCATATCCCATGGTTTACGTGGTAGATTGAGAAATTACCATTATTTTGTCATTTGGATATATTGTTTGCGCCTATCTAAACTTTAGTATTTTGATAGCCGATCTAACCAATTTTTCATCAAGATTTGGTCTATCAATGTCAAACAAACAATATCTCCAAAATTCTTTAGCAACTACTACTAATGTCTATGTTTGATTGAATATTAGTACTGTTATTACTATTATTATTCAGATCATTACACGTGCAACTCTAGCTAAATGTATAATCTAATTTTTTTGAGAGCCAAGAAAAAACATACTCTTCAAATTGTGCAAGTTGATTGAAATCTTACCTCATGTTATTTGTAACTTCAGGTAAAATGATGCGGCAATTAAGCCAAAATTCCTATGGAGAAGAAAATGGTGCTCAAATAAACACACATCCAAATCTACCATTTTTTGATTTTAAAACGATAATGACAGCTACAAGAAATTGTGGTCAGGAAAATAAGCTGGGACAAGGTGGGTTTGGCTCTGTCTATAAGGTAAGTGAAACTCTACATTAAGCTATTGATGCATAAATAGTGAAATGGGATTGAATTGATAAATATTTCAGGGTTGCTTGGTTAATGGACAAGAGATAGCAGTGAAAAGATTATCCAAAGATTCAGGTCAAGGCAAAGAAGAGTTTAAAAATGAAGTTACACTTTTAGTTAAACTCCAACACAGAAATCTAGTGAGATTGCTCGGTTGTTGCTTTGAAAAAGAAGAAAGGATGCTAGTTTATGAATACCTACCAAACAAAAGCCTAGACTTCTTTATATTCGGTATGCCTCTATCTCTAACTCACTTGTTGTCTCTCTAGCCTGAATAAGCTTGTATTTAGACATTGCATAAAGCATAGTGAGTTGAGTTGTGACTGAATTGGGGAGAGAAATTGGCACATTACTCGCCGGACTGTTGCTAAAATTCCTTGCCAGGCACAAGATGATTGATTCAGCAGATTATCTAATCTTTTCTGTACTTCTCAGTTTTCTAAATTCTACATTTTCATGGTTAGATGGAAATAATGGATTTCTGATATATGACTAAAATTGTATTTTCCTTTTCCATTCTATATTTTGATGAACTCTTGTAAATATAAGGTCAATATGCAGTTGATTTCCCGATATGTTCTATTTCTGAAAACTTCAATTGTTCAACCACTCAGATCATAGCCAAAGATCATCATTGGGTTGGAATAAGCGTTTTGAAATTATTTGTGGGATTGCTCGAGGTGTTTTATATCTTCATCAAGATTCAAGGCTGAAAATAATTCATAGAGATCTAAAAGCCAGCAATGTTCTCCTTGATGCTGCAATGAATCCCAAAATCTCAGATTTTGGTATGGCTAGAATATTTGGAGAAGATGAAATCCAAGCAAGGACAAAAAGAGTGGTCGGAACATAGTATGTGTCATACCCTCATTAAGATTGTAGAGATGGCTCTGTATTTTTAATTATGCTCTGACTATTTTGTACAATTGCAGTGGATATATGGCCCCAGAATATGCAATGGAAGGACGATATTCAACAAAATCTGATGTCTTCAGTTATGGGGTCTTACTACTAGAAATTATTGCTGGACAAAGAAACACACACTTTGAAACTGGAAGAGCATCCCCTAATTTAATTGGACATGTAAGTTAGAAAAATAAAGAGGTAGCCCTAAAATTGGCCAACAGGTTTATGATATATGATGTATTCATTTAAAGATTGTGTTGTGTATTTGTAGGTGTGGACACTATGGACAGAGGATAGAGCCTTGGATATAGTTGATCCAGCACTAAACAAGTCTTATCCTCTGGCTATAGTTCTGAAGTGCCTTAAAATTGGACTCTTGTGTGTGCAAGAAAAAGCCATGAATAGACCATCGATGTTAGACGTTGTTTTCATGCTATGCAATGAAACACCTCTTGGTCAACCTCAAAAACCAGCATTCTTATTCAATGGCAGCCAAGAATTACAAGAATTATCAATGAATGAATTAACAGAAACTACCGTCAGTGCTCGCTAAAAGTTAGCTTAATCAAATATGTAATATTTGCTTTGTAAGTTTCTTTTAGAATTGAGTTTATAGACCTTTTAAAAATTTCTTAAGAAACAAATATTGTAAAATGAGCTATTTAATTGTAAAGTACATAATGATTATGTAAATTCAATTGTATTAAATAATTATACAAAAAGAAGAAAAAAAGGGGCCCGTGAGATAGAGAAAAAAAAATTTGATATTTGAAAATAATTTTTTTCTCTTAAATAAAGATAATTATTGATTGAAATAAAATAAGTATTATGTTGATAGTGAACAGTTAGTTGAATCAGGACAAAATCTCTTCAATTATGGTTTGAGGATAAGAATTTTATACCTTGGGTCAATTGATGTGGATTTGAGTTGATTTGGGTCTTAACTATTTGGATTTTTGATCGGCTCAAAATAGTTGTCCCCGAGGTTTGTCAGACGCTTAGGGAGCCGGGGAAGCCTTTGGCAGTCGCCCTCAAAGCATGTTGTCTGATTCCAACTAAAAATGAAATGCACAAAGTCAATTGAAAAAGTAGTAAGAGACAAGCGCATTAAATATTAATGCTCTCTTGTTATTGGAATGTTTAACTTTCGGCTCCCAACACATCACCGAAGGTATGCAAGTCAGAGAATGATTCCCCTACTTAGGATACTTGAGTGTTTTGAGCTCTTCGCCCTGCTTAATGGGAAGATGAACTTGTTGCCCTTGGATTTTTCCTTATCTTTGATTTGGATTGTTGGTTTTCAACTGACTTCTTCATAAAAGGTGGATTTTTCCCGCAAAGTTTTTTTCCGCCTTCCGGTTGTTCTCCGCTTATCTCTCGTTTTGGGTTTGACTATCGACTTTCTTGCTCCAGTTTTTGGAACTTCTGTTGCTCATTTTCTTCTCTTTACAGGTACGTCTTTTTTGCCATTCTGCATAGGTTGATCTGAGGAACGCGCCTGTGGATGGTGCTTTCGAGCTCACCTGTGAATAGTCTTCATTATCTGTGGGAGGCGGATTTTCCTATTCAGTCTTTTGGATCAAATCCTTTTATCCAAGACCTATTGTTGCTAATTTATTTGATTTATTTTATAATGCAGACATAGGATTCAACCATTTAGAATATCTGATGGCAGCGACAAACGTGGAAGATTACCCCTGGGTAGACTCAGAATATCTAGAAACACCCTCCACTTACACTTAAGAAGCTAAACTAGTTGTTGCATCCTTCGAGGTAAGGTCTCCCTCTGACTAGCAATCTCTGTAATCCCTACTGACAAGTCGGTGTGCCAAAAATAAAATCTTTCGTGTTTATACGGAGAGAGCTGGAAGAGTTTCAAGGCCGATTACTTCTTGGAACTCCCATTTTCCCAGGCTCATACTGAATTTTGTGTTGTTATGACGCCTTGTGCAGATTAGGCCTTGTGTGTCGACCGGAGGAGGCGATTCTGGTCTCTGGACCATTTCTCAAAGAAGGTTAAACATTATTATGTTTCATACAAAGCTCTCATCTATGTGGAGAAGGCCATGAAGGCGATATTTCTTTCCTTCTCTGATGTCGAGATACATTGTCAGTGTATTTCTGAAGTGACTTCTGCTAAGGAGAGGAAGGAACTCTTCAGTACCTTCTCTATTCCTGCTTTATTTATGGCATGCAAGTTTGTATTTTCTTTTATTTATTGTCTTCCTTTTCTTTTCTCAGATGCACTCAAGAGGAAGGACACCTCAGCTGTTAGTCTCGTGCCTATGCTGGACCTCGAAATCCCCTTGATTGCGCCTGCGCCTACTCCTTCAGAGGGTTGAAGCAAAAAGAATATCATGACATAGTTGCCTTGGATGGGGATAAACAGAACTGGCGTAATGCGATCATTCAGGGATTCCTGCTAAAAATTTGACGCAACAGAGGTTTACTCTTACTATCCATTTTCTGGGAAGTACGGGGAGCGTTCCTCTCCCCCTACCCGCAGTGTTAGATGGTCTATTGCCTGGACTAGTGCAGAGATAAAGAATTGTGTGTCAGTCAAAGATTATGCACATGTCTGCTAGCTCTTCAAAATTGGCAGGTCTAGCTTATTGGTAGAATCGACCTTCCAGTTGTTGCAGGCGGCTTCACTCATGACTCAGCGAGCGGCCAGCCACGAAGAACTCTTAATCCCTGACACTTCTTCTCAAGAGTTTGAGGATTTGAAGGCCCACTATACTCTTACTGAGGCGAAAGTTGACAGCTTTGATAGGGATTGCTCCGGGCTGCAGAATCGACTAAATCAAGTGTCCTCTTTTCAAAAAGAAAATAAAGCGATTTATTTTATATTTTAAAATTGTTAACAAATTGTCACTTTAAAGTCATGTATTGTTAACTTACCAATTGCTTTAATGTCGCAATATTAATTACTTCACAACTGTTTAAGATAAGATGATCTTCATCTTGCATTATCTATAATCATATATCGAAACTTATCTTTCCTCCAAGGAAGATGGCTTTATCGATGCAAAGATTGAACATACTGGCAAATGATATATTTTCAAGAGAAATTATCTGTTTTTCAATATCATTAGGAAACTTTGAAATGACTACTTTGAAGAAAACTACTTTGGTGTAGATGTTGTACATTTTAATGTTATCATATTCATAGTAATTGATTCATTTGGTATAGTCTACTTATAGACTTTGAAATAAGTCTTGTAACCAAATTTATTATGGGTTTTACTACTCTTTTACTGATTCATAATTAAAATAGGTCAACTATTTTTTTTTCAGTTAAATTTTATTGCTTCGATTTTTTATATATATTTATAATAAAGAGAGCCTAAACTCTAGCATCATCCTCTAATAAATCTGAAACAACGTTTCGTGTCGAGTCAAAAACAATCAACTCATAATCAAGAATGCAACATACATTAGGTAACGCAACAACATATTTATTAGACTCCATAAAAGCATGATCCACCTTCACAATCTCATGATCTTTGATTAATTTTCAAATCTTTTTAATCAAAGTCAAACCTTCACTCATTCTCGATCTTCCTTTCTTAATAACATGCATTGGAGTCTATGTTAATCTCCACCTTACGAAACCCTAACACCTTTGTGAGTTTGAGACCTTCAAGAACACCCCACAATTATGCCATGAAGACACTATAGTAACCCAGGGATTTTGCAAAAACTTCCAATCAACGCTCCTTTGTCATCTCAGATCACTCCCCCAACACCAGCTACATATATTTCTTTGCACGTACCATCTGCATTCAACTTCACCATGTTTTGAGATAGAGGCTTCCAACCAATCATACTAGTCGTTATATCTCTAACCATGAAGCATTATTCAAACTCTTTGCTTCATCATAATCTTTTCTCCTTTGCGAGATAAATGGGCCCGGTTCATAAGGCCTCTATAATGCCTCATCATGTTCTTCTTTGTTCCTTACGTCCATAAAGCTTGATAACCCAACGTCCAAAAGTCACTCTAATTGCTACATTCCTTACTCCTTTCCTTGACGTTAAGCATTAACCAGTCATTCAAATTTGTGTTGAAAAAAGCATTACATATTATATTAGGGACCACTTTCTTCCACAATTGCATGACACCAAAGCATTCTCTCAGAGCATGCATGGTAGTTTCACAAGAATTCTCACACAAGTTGCACATGACAGACCCCAAACCTCTTATGCTTTTACTATAATTAGTGAATAACCTATCATGTTTAAGAAGTCACAGAAAAGTCTTTACTCTCTCTGATACATTGAGACACTATAACATCCTTCACCCTTCATCAATAAGCTCTTTATCAACATTAGTCAAATGTTTATACATTTTCATAATTGATAAAGCATCGTCACCTTTAACTTCCATAGGGAATTCTGTTGGGTTTACCGTTAAAGCTAGAGAATAGGTCTTAATAAGCTAGTTTTTAGGAGTTGATTTATTCCAGTTTGTTATATTCTGTTTTCCTTATTTTTCTCTATTTCAGTTACACTTAAATTGTAAGGCTTTATAAAAGCTGTAGCAGTCTTTTGAATAAACGATCAAGCATTCTAGCTTACATTTCTGTTCTATTTCCTTTATCTGGCATCAGAGCTCGAAAGGGCCTGATAATAGTAATATACAAATTGAGTGTTTGAGAGGAAAAACACTGAGAGGAAGTAGGGAAAGTCTGCAATAGTGTTTGAGAGGAAAAACACAGAAGAAAGGAAAAATGGCAGCAGAAAGTTTCTCAACACCATGCGTTCCGAAGTTCGATGGTGACTATGATCACTGGAGCTTACTTATGGAAAATCTCCTCCGCTCCAAGGAGTACTGGAGCGTCATTGAACCAGGGCTCGAAGAGTTGAAGGGGACCGAAGGCATAAGCGCGAAGGCACTCGACGAAGCAAAACTCAAAGATCTCAAAGCAAAGAACTATCTTTTTCAGTCCATAGACAAGAGCATCTTGAAAACCATCACCCAGAAGGAAACAGCCAAACAGTTGTGGGATTCAATGAAAGTCAAGTATCAGGGAGGTGCTAGAGTGAAGCGCGCACAGCTACAACGGCTTCGCAGAACATTTGAAACCCTAGAAATGAAATTGGGAGAAGGTGTTTCTGAGTACTTCGCAAGAGTCATGTCTACTGCCAATGAAATGAGGAACTGTGGAGAAAACATGAATGATGTTAAAATTGTTGAAAAAATACTTCGAAGTCTTACGGACAACTTCAACTTTGTGGTATGCTCCATTGAAGAGTCCAAGGACATTGATGATATGACAGTAGATGAATTGCAAGCATCTCTGCTTGTACATGAACAAAAGGTGATTGAGAAAAGAAGTGAAGAACAAGTTCTACAGGTGGAGAACGAGCAAAGGAATGTACAAGGAAGAGGCAGAGGCATATATCAGAGAGGAAATGGCAACTCTAGAAGCGGTAACTTCAGAGGCGGCAACTTTAGAGGACGAGGAAGAGGTAGATCTTTCGTTAACAGGTCAGCCATTAATTGCTTTCGATGTGGAAAGCAAGGACATTATCAATTTGAATGCTCAA